CCCTGATTTTTTTTTTTTTTTTTTTTTGCAGGCTGTTTTATTTTTAATTTTTATTATTTTTTCCATTTATTTATAACCCCTTACCTTTAATTATATGCCAGTATCACTCACTGTAACATAAGTTACATGTACTCATCATTTCATACCCTCTGACGGAAGAAATTTTCACATAATGAGGTACAGGGATGATTTAACTTGAAATTTATGCTAACTAAAATACTCTGTCTTGGACTTCCCTGGTGGTCGAGTGGTTGAGAATCTTTCTGCCGATGCAGGGGACACAGGTTCAATCCCTGATCCAGGAAGATCCCACATGCCGCAGGACAACTCAGTGTATCCACCTCACTACTGAGCCCACACTCTAGAGCCCGCGCTCTGCCACAGAGCAGCCTCTGCCTGCCGCAACTAGAGCGCGCGCACGTGCAGCGCGAAGACCCAGCACCGCCAAAACTAAACTAAAAAACACTGTCTTAGAGCCTGTCAAACATATGTTGTACATCTGCTTTACCTATTAATGAAGCATGTCCCTCATCTTCCAGTCATACAAAGGATTAAGCCAGAACCCACCGCAGTCACCCACTGAAGGGTACTGAGGATGGGAAAAACAGGATGAAACATTCTATGCTTTGGATAAAGGGGCTCCTAGATAAGATGCATATTTAAGAATTTCAAGGATCCCAGATTCCTGCATATCCCCATAGATGAAAAATCACTAAAAGCATTAACTCGAGATGTCTGTTCTTTGTGATTAGCAGTAATCTTTTACCAAAACATATGCTTGTCTACATGTATTTCCCAGCCAAAAAAAAAAAAATGTATGTACTGGTCCTCTACTACCTCTTAGTAGCTCTGAGGAGGCTGCTCCAGAGAGTTGTTTCCTGGGCAACAGTCCTCAGTTTGGCTTGAATAAAACTCTTCTCTATTCTTATTATAGATTATTTATTGATTACTTGCATCAACACCTCCAACAGCATAACCTGACCTGCCCATATGCCTAACACTTCACAACTTCACCAAGATAATGTTAGAGACCCTCCACATTTCAGATAAATTTTAGCTAATGCTGTACAGTGGGGGAGGGAGGCTTCCCAGGCAGTTCAGTGGTAAGGAATCCACCTGCCAATGCAAGGAGACACACGAGACACAGGTTCAATCCCTGGGTCAGAAAGATCCCCTGGAGAAGGAAACGGCAACCCACTCCAGTATTCTTGCCTTGGAGAACCCCAGGGACAGAGGAGACTGGCAGGCTATGGTCCACAGGGTCGCAAAGAGTCGGACTCGGCTGAGCACACACGCACCGGCACCCACCATACACTGGGGACCTCAATCAAGGGCCGGCCTCCAACGGCTCCCCGTGCTTCTATTGGGGAAGCACACTGGTACACCCACCCTGGCCAGGTACCACACTAGCTATTGTCAGGAGTTATTTTATGACAGGAGGTCCTGGCAAGGAACATGGAACTAACAAGCCACCACCAGCCGCAAGAGTTCAGGCAAGGTCAAAATGAGATGCCACGTGTCTTACCACCTCCCAGAATTCTCCTTGCTGGCATCCATCTTGGCTGAGCGATATGTGCACCCCCTGGAAAGACCCTGAGTCAGAATGATTGGCTGGAGACAACCCAGAAACTAATCCCATCACCATAAAACCCGAGACTGTGAGCCATGTGTCATAGCAGTTCTCCTGGGTTTCCTTACCCTACTGCTTTCTGCCCAGGGGTCCCTTCCCAATAAAGTCTCTTACTTTGTCAGCACATGTGTCTCCTTGGACAATTCATTTCCAAGTGTTAAATAAGAGGCCACTCTTAGGCCCTGGAAGGGGCCTCGCTTCCTGCAACACTTCTGTTTATATTCCTCCTTTACACATTGTAAAATACTCTATGCTGTTTAGGGCAACTTATGCCATACTCTCTAAAAATCTCCACCTTTCTATCAACACCCGAAACTTTCTTTAATATGTCAAAACATCAGAGGACTAATTGTAAGTATTTTTAAATTTTCTGTGTATTATGATATTTTGGTAACTTACAAAACCTTTCTGGCTGGGAAGAAACCATCCCTTCCAGGGCTGGACATTTTAAGAGAGAGCAAACAGCCCAGCTAGAAGCGCACCTTTGATGTGCAAACTAACAAATTCAAAGCCAGACCTCCTCCATCTGGCCTCTACTCACCCTCTCCCTCCCCCCCCAGCAATATTTCCCATCTTAATCATCCCAGGACCAGGGCCAGGCAACTAGGGACCACCCCTGTAGTCCAAAGCCCACCAAAATTATTCAAGCTAGCCAATCCTAAATGGCTCACTCTGCCCTGCCTCGCTTCCCAATAAAGGCTGCCCCCCAATCCCGAGTCTTTCGCCTCCTGACTGCCCTTGTATCTTTCCCACGTGGCCCTGCATGGGATGTTGTGGCGTGTGCACCTCCTGTCTCTAGGACGTGTACAGTGTGAGCGCCCCACTACAAGGTACATTGTTTACTGTAACATAAGCACCTGACTTTAAGCTTTAGACAGCTGAGGCACCCATTTCAAAGACATCAATTTTCATTTGAGTTATTTTTACTTTAGACTTGCGGCCTTAAGAGGCTCTGCTGTGTCTTCCTAAGCAAGGACCAAGGCGGGGATGCGGTCAGGGTAGGAGACATAGGTGCAAGTTCTCATTAGTTTGGCTTCACTTGAAAAAATGCTTTCAAGAAACTGCCAGTGAAATGAAAGACTGAATTACCCAATCATGAAGAAAAGAAACTTGCTCTTCCTGGCCACAAGGTGTCCTCAGGCATCTGAGAACCTAGTGCAAGTATCTGGAGGACTGACCCAGAGACACATGCTACACAGGCTGATCGCCTAGTGCTCTAAGCACTGGGTGGTTTTAGACTGTTGGAGGGAGAAACCCAGACATGTAAGAGTTGAACCAAGTCAAGGGTAACTCCTTTGGGGAGTCGGACTAAGAAGCTGAACGCATTTGATTCATCATACTGTCCTCAGAGTTGTTGAGGGGCTTCCCTGGTGATCCAGGGGCTAACTCTCTGCTCTCCCAATGCAGGGGGTCTGGGTTCCATGCCTGGTCTGGGAACTAGATCCCACATGCTACAACTAAGAGTCTGCATGCAACTCAAGAAGAAAATGGCCACCCATTCCAGTATTCTTGCCTGGGAAATCCCATGAACAGAGGAGCCTGGCGGGCTACAGTCCATGGGGTTGCAAGAGTCAGACACGACTTAGCAGCTAAACTACCACCAAAGATCCCATGTGCCTCAGTTAAGACTTGGCGTGGTCAAAATAAATAAGATAGAAATAAATATTTTTTTAAGTTGGTTAGATCATATCTAAATTAGGCAACCAAATCAAGAATGGGAAGTCATGCCTCAAAGGCTCAACAGCTCCTTGACAATCACCTATGGGAACCTCAGCTGTGTTTATATGCAACACTTAAGGATCTGACACTTCCAAGTATTTTTTGTTTTTACTTCCAAGTATTTAAATAAATGGCAAGTCAAACAATAACTTCTCCCTGAGATGGCCCAAATGAGGCACTTTTGACTTACCTAAATTGGTTTATTTGGGCGCTCAATTAGAAAAGGCTAGTAGGGGCTTCGCTGGTGGTCTGGTGGTTAAGAATCCGCCTTGCAGTGCAGGGGGTGTGAGTTTGATCCCTGGCCAGGGAACTAAGACCTCACATGCCTTGGAGCAACTAAACCCACTGCAACTACTAAAACTCACGCCACAACTAGAGTCTGTGCACCTCAAGGAAAGACCCCACACTTTGCAACTACAACCTGATGCAGTCAAGTAAATATTTTAAGTATCTTTTTTAAAAAAGAAAGCAAACAGAAAAAAAAACAAACAAACAAACAGGTAGGCAAAAATCTGTCAGTGCAAACAAAGGTGGAGAGACACTATTTTTGATTATTTCAAAAGATTTGAAAAGACATTGCAAACAACACTCTAGCATGGCTCCAGAGAGTTTTCTGGACCATCGGAAAGATCCAATACTACACTCTATTTCTTTTTTTTTTCTTTAACACTATTTCCTTTTAAAGAAGGATTAGATGAAGAATAGGCATGACTGTTTAAAAGATATGAACTTGATTAGCCTACTCTGCATTCTAATGTGTTTGTCACTACTGGTGACCAACTCGCCAAAACCTTACAGAAAGGAGAAAAAGAAAGCTGCCACATTATGAAACCACCCGGCCCAAATTTCAGTCCATTTTGAAAAGAACCACATCTGTTTTTAAAGCAAAAAAACCTGGACACTGTAAAAGAGACTGCCACGTGCGACTTCCCTGGCAGTCCAGTGGTTCCAATGCAGAGGGCTCAGGGTTCAATTGTTGGTCAGGGAACTAAGATCCCACATGCGGTGTGACAAGGCCAAAAATAAAATTAAAAAAGACTGCCACAGGTTTAAATTAGATTCAGGACATGATGCGTTTAATATGGAGCAGGGGTGCTCTAAGGACTACGAGAAGGTATTCCCTCTCCTCACAAACACCTCAGGGGAAACTGAAATAACATTCAGAGGGGCAACTTCTAAATTCTAAGGCCCCTGTAGACATGGGGGCAACCTTATCCATTCTCAGCCCTACCCTCATTCACTGCCCTCTCCCTCAGAGTAAACAGTCAATTCAAATGACAGGTGTTTCTAATTTACCTTTGTGTTTTAAAATCAGAAACATAATATTCCAGTTAGAACTGTCTCAGGAAGACACATGTTCCTTTTGGTGAAGTGTGCTCCAATTCATTTGATAGGATGAGCCCTCTGAGAGCCATGTAACACCCATGCCGCCTGAAAGGGTGAAGGGATGTTAGAGTTAGAAAACTCCAGTGCAGACCAGAGCATAATGACCAAGAAAATGACGGCTGGGAGAACAAAAGCTCAGACAGATAAGGGGAAATGGACGACTCAGTTAAAAGTGCCTGAGGAATTATGGTCACTGTCCTCCTCAGAATTTGGGAAAATCAAGTTAGCCACTTCAATCAGAATAACTACTGATGGGGCTTCCCTGGAAGTGCAGTGGTTAGGGTGCCTCACTTTCACTTCAGTGGGCACGAGTTTGATGCCTGGTGTGGTAACTAAGATCTAACATGCTGCTCAGCAGAGCCAAAAATAAATAAAAAGCAACTGAAAAATAACAACAATTATTGACAATCCCAAGCCTCTACCCAGTATTTGGCAATAACTATTTAGTTTTTTTTCCTAAATATTTATTTACTTGCCTGTGCCAGGTCTTCATTTAGGCCTAGAGAAATCCAGTTCCCTGACCAGGGATGGAACCTGGGCCCCTTACACTGTGAGTGCAGGCTTAGCCCACCAGGGAAGTTCCAACAAAACCTATTTAGACCAGAGGCATTCTTGTTATTCAGAAATTCCTTGAGAATGAACTTACAATTCCTCATACTAGTCCTTGAAATACCCCCATTTTGCTGGCAAGAAAGTCAAATGCAAAAGGACCTGAGAGTTATAAATAACATTGTGATTCCTCGCCACCCTGTGGTTCCTAATCCTCACACCCTACTCTCAGCCATTCCAGCAGACATCTGTTATTTTGCAGTAAGAGATCTATGCAGTGTGTTCTTTAGTATTCTGGTGTAAAAGAAGAGCCAATGTCTTTTTGACTTTACATGAGGAGACCATCTGAACACCTAGATGCCACAAGAATATACTGAAAGCCCTACTTATTTTTCTCAAATACTTAAAGCTGATTGGGCTGATGCACACTTTCCTAATGACTGTTTTAACTCATTATGTAGATGATTTGCTTTTGTGGTATAGAACTGAGCAGAGAAACTGCGCTCTGTTACAAGAGTTAGCCTCTAAGGGACATAAGGTGTCCAAAGAAGAACTGTTAACTGACTCTCAACAAATTAAGGAAATCCTGGCTTCCTCGCTTCCCAGAACAAAGCAGCAGCTCAGAGGGGCTTCCCTGGTGGTTCAGCGGTTCAGAATCCGCCTGCCAGTGTGGGGGACACAGGTTTGATCCTTGGTCCTGCAATGAGAAGCCCGAGCACCACAACTAGAGAGCAGCCCCCACTAACTGCAACTCGAGAAAGCCTGCACACGGCAGCGAAGACTCAGCATTGCCAAAAGCAACTTTTTTTTTTTAATTTGGAAAAAAAAAGAAAGAAACAGCAGAGAGGATTTCTAGGTCTGACTGCATACTGTAGGAACTGGATATCTAATTTGTTCCTCATGCCCCAATTCCTCTATGTGTTACTAAAATTCTAACAGACCAGTTAGACTTGAACTAATGTCTAAAGTCTAACGGCTGCACGGTGCTGGGGCGGCGGTGAGGAGATACCCCATGTCCAAGGACAAAGGAGAAGTCCCAGCAAGACGGTAGGAGGAGCCAATTCAGGTTTAGAGTCAAACCCCATTCCCACCAGAGACGCTCAGAGGGCTCAGACAAACCTTGCGCACACCAGGACCCAGGGAGCCCACAGAGACTGAGGCAGAACTGTGTCTGAGCGCCTCCTGTGGAGGTGTGGGGCAGCAGTGGACTGCGGCAGGGACCGGGCTCTGGGTGCAGCAGACCTGGGTATGGCATAAGCCCTCTTGGCGGAGGTCTCCATTAACCCCACCACAGAGCTTCCAGAGGAGAAGGCAATGGCACCGCACTCCAGTGTGCTTGCCTGGAAACTCCCATGGACAGGGGAGCCTGGTGGGCTGCAGTCCATACGGTTGCTGAGAGTCGGATATGACTGAGCGACTTCACTTTCACTTTTCACTTTCATGCATTGGAGAAGGAAATGGCAACCCACTCCAGTGTTCTTGCCTGGAGAATCCCAGGGACGGGGGAGCCTGGCGGGCTGCCATCTATGGAATCGCACAGAGTCGGACACGCCTGAAGCGACTTAGCAGCAGCAGCAGCAGAGCTACCAGAACTTCCACAGGACTGGGAAATAGACTCTTGGACAGCACGAACAGAACCTTACGTGCACCAGGACCCAGGAGAAAGGAGCAGTGACCCCACAAGAGACTGGCCCAGAACTGCCTGGGAGCATCCATGTCTCCAGCAGAGGCGTGGGTCGGTGGTGGCCTGCTGCAGGGTTCCGGGCACTGAGTGGAGCAGTGCTTGCATGTGATCTTTTGAAGGAGGTTGCCATTATCTTCATTATCTCCACCAGTTTGGCCCCAGGAAAATAGCCTGGAGGGAACACAGCTCCACTCAGAAAACTGGATTAAAGATTTACTGAGCGTGACCCCGCCCACCAGAACAAGACCCAGTTTCCCCCTCAGTCAGTCTCTTCCATCAGGAAGCTTCCATAAGCCTCTTATCCTTCTCCATCAGAGGGCAGACAGACTGAAAACCA